AAGCGAGCAATTTCGTCCCGGATGTGTCAGCAGTTGCAGGAAGGCGGCGAACATAGATGTTAAACAGAGTTGGGCCCAAGACACTGCCTTGCGGGACCCCACGAGTGACAGGTAGAAATGGAGAGACCTCACCGCACCTGAGGACCCGCTGGGCTCTGCCAGAAAGGTAGGATTTAAACCATGAGAGTGCTGATCCGCTGATACCAATCTCGTGCAAAGCCAAGAGTAGCTGCTGATGCTGCACACGATCGAACGCTTTACTAAGGTCAACAAACGCGACAGCAGAGGTCAGGCTCTGGTCCCGAGCAAGACACCAGTCATTAATTGCCAAAGAGAGCAGTTGATGGACGGAGCGATTTGGGCGGAACCCAAATTGGTGATCATGTAGGAATGCAGTCGAGTCCAGGTGACAGAATAGTTGCGACATTACCACGGATTCCAACACTTTGGACAGGATCGACGTCAGCGAAACTGGGCGGTAGCTCGTTGCGTTGTAGACGTCGGTCTGAGCGGATTTTGGGATCGGGGTGATGTTGGCTCGCTTAAAGGCAGAAGGAAACACTCCACTGCTAAGAGACGCGCTGAAGATTTGTGCCAAAGAAGGCGCCAAGGAGGACGCCATGGCCTTGAGGAAACCAGGCAGAAGGCCATCTGGACCCGGTGCCTTGCACGGTATAAGGGAGCGAAGAGCACGCTCTACCTCTGTAGTGCTGACCCGATCGAAAGAGGTCAATGCATCTTCAAGGACCGGTCCAGACGGCAGGTCGTACGTGCTTGTGGGGTCGTGGACTATAGCATGGAAGTGGTCATTCAGGTTAGGTGCAAGAATGGGAGACGACTTTGGTTTACGCTTTGTCACATAGTTGATTGTAGCCCATAAGCGACGCGGAGATTTTCTGTATTCGGCACAAATTCTCTGATAGTGCTGGTTCCGCAGACGACGATAGAGATTGTTACATTGGGTGCGAAGGCGCTGAAAGCTGTTGTAAAGCTTGGTGTCTGTGGAACCTCCCTTGCGCCACGTGCGAAAGGCCGCTTTGCGCCTCCGAATTAGTGCTTGTAGCTCTGACGTAACAAAGGGGCACTTTCGACGAGGAGCATGTCGGTAATGCTTAGACGGTTTATATGGCGCTACCAAATCCAGCACTGAGTCAACTTTACTTGTCCATTCGTCAACCATACTATTCACGCTGGAAGAGAGAGAGAAAGTACAGAGGTTTGCGGACTCTAAGAGGGTCTCCAATTGCTTGATATCGGTGTTGGAAAAGTCCCGACTGGGCAGGCGCTGGTTGCAGTCAGTCGGGAAAGAGTAGGGGTCGGGGGTGGTCAAGGTTGCACATACCAAACAGTGATCGGAGTGCTCAAAGTCATGAACAATACCGCCTGAGACAGCATCTGTATTACTTAGAATGTAGTCAATTGACGATGACGACTTCGGACAAACACGAGTTGGGTCGCGAATACAGTTTAGAAAGTTAAAGGGCAAAAGAAAGTTGGTAAGGAGAGACGAGTAGAGCTGGGATGTAGGTTGGAGAGAATCCACGTTCAGGTCACCCATGAGCACCAACGAGTTACCCTGGAGTTCTGTCAGTTCCTGCGCCAGGGAAGTCCAAAACGATGCTGGGGAATTCGGGGGTCTGTAGAGGCAACCAAGATGGAAGGGAGCAGCATTGCGTCGCCGGCGAGATGTAAGCCAGAGCATTTCAAAATTATTTGAGCTTCGTAGCAAGTGCCGGGTAAAGCCAAGTCTAGTGCTGGTGTACACACAGACGCCTCCCGCCTTGCGGCAGGGGACTGAAAGACCACTAAGGCAAGGGCAGCTTCGTGGACACTATCGGTCACGCCGGAACAGCGTGTACCCGTCAATAGCTAGTTCTGAATCAGCAACTGTATTGTCAAGCCAAGTTTCAGTAATAGCGAGAACATCCAGGGAATGGTCGGAGATGAGGGATTGAATTTCATGGAGTTTATGTCTGAGGCTACGCACATTTAAATGACCGATATTGATGTTATGATTTGTATGATGACTGGGTAGAGATATTGGTGGTGGAGGATGTGATCTGGGGGTGAACGGTGGTGCGAGTGGATTTAGAGGAGACATGTTTACTGATTGGAACCGTGGGCGACTCGATCAGTCTCCCAATACCACTTCCGCACAGTGAAATCCTCGGGCCAGAACTCCTTGTCCAACACTTTCGCCGTGTACGTTTCAGGGACCACCAGGTGTGCGTACGAAAGTCCGAAGTACTTTGTTGCGGAAATGGAGCACTTGATAACTTCCACTTGCTTCTTCTGACACCATTTCGCGATAGCGTCAGCTGAGCAGCTGGGATCAATGTTTCCCACATGGATTGCACTGCATTTCACACGGCGACCTGCAACGAGACGGTCAGACGTGCCAGAGGGTTGTTTGGGCGGCTTGTGGTAGTATGATACCACTCTGGTTTTCTGTGGGACTGGCTGGGCTGGGTTAGGGCTTGTACGACGTGGGTGTACACTAGAGCTAGAGGGGGGTCCGGAAGATTGCAGGGTAGCAGCATAGGATTGCGCACCATAGCCCGTGCTTGTCCCCGTTTCATCAAGTGGCGTATGTGCATGTGTTTGACCTTTTGCAAGGTGCGTGCCTCCCGTAGCATGCAAGGCAGCCTCCCCGCTTTTTAGGACGGCTAGCTCGGTCTGTACGGCAACAAGATCAACTCTCAACTCCCGTACGTTCTTTTTCAAATCCACGACTTCTCTATTCGTCTCGTGTAATTTGTCCTCCATTCCCTTCATGGCAGTTATTTCCGCCTTCAACTCCCTTACTACATCTGTGAGGTCTGACAGGGCTGAGCACAGGCTCGAAACAGCATGATCGCTTCCAGAGAGACTTACACCATTGTAGGTGGCGTCCTGCGATGCCCTCAGTGCAGCAACAAGTTCGGTCCTCGTGGCTTTCCGCGGGACGTCCAGACCACGGTGTCGGATGAGGTCCCTCAGCTCTGAGTCGATCAGGATAGCAATGTCCACTTTGTCAGTAGACGTGTAATTGTCAACCATACTGGATACAAGGCAAAAAGTATTCCGAGGGCCAAAGGCCCAGGGAATCACGAAAAAAAGGGGGGTACTTTCCGGGAGCTCCAAAAAAGGCTACCGCTCTCATTCGTCAAGTCTGGAGTGCCCCAAGGTTCCATTCTGGGTCCTTTGTTATTCTTGCTTTACGTTAATGACCTACCTTCAGTTGTCCCCGATGTTAGTTTGTATGCGGATGACACTGGCCTTATCTGTTCTGATTCCTCCCCTGCACAATTACTCCTTACCATGCAGCATCGCATCAACAGCACTGTCATGTGGATGCAAACGTGGAAACTCCAGCCCAATTTAGACAAGACAGAAGCCATGTATATTTCTTCATCCCCTCCTGATCAACCATTATTCTTCCCTGACTCGACTATGCCTATCCGTGTTGTTACTCAGCACAAACATCTAGGTGTGATGTTTGACTGCAAACTCTCTTGGGCTGCACATGTCAACTGAGTATGCAAGCGAACCAGTTCAGCCTTAGGGGTACTACAACCACATTGCACTCATTTGCCCATCCACTGTAAACTATTATTTTATCAGTGCTATATTCTCCCTATATTCGACTATTGCGATACCGCTTGGTGTGGCCTTTCTGACACAACTCTGAGCCAATTAGAAGTCCACCATAGATTTATACTTAAAATTCTTTACAACAAGGATCGATGTTTTCCTTCGGATGCCCTTTATCGACTTGCACACACTTCTCCTCTCTCCGTTCGTCATAAGCACCATCTCTGTACACTGGTTCAGAGATATTTCTTCATAAAACCCCTTCACACATGATGAAGTACAATTGGTTTTCGACAAGCTCAACCCGTAACGCGCTCACCCTGCCTCTTGTTAAGTCAGCCCAGTATCTAAAGTCCCCTTTGTTTTCCGGCTACTCTCATTGGTTATCATTACCATACGGTCTGAAAACTTGTTCTTCTATTGGTCAGTTTAAAGATCTACTATCACAACTGAACTAGACGCAATAATTATCATCGAAGAACATTCTCGAATACCTGGGTGATGCACGAATTTTGATAGTGCTCACTTCCGTTAATAGGCCATTCACACGACGGGCAAACTTACTTTTATCGTACCGCTTCCAAGGACATTTACTCGGATACGATAAACTTGGACACACGCGAGCAAAAGATTTTTTATCTTGGCCGAGGCCCTTTTGCTCACGATTATCTTTGCACGCAAGGAAAAGTGTCGGTTGTTGAAAGTGCGTACTGCAAATGCAGTGCTTGAACAAAGGAAAATTCAAAATTTAACATTTCCCGGCATTTTCGGGGGGGTCACTATGGATACATTGACGGTTGCAAAGTTTGCCCAGCACCGTGTGAACTGGATCACGGTTTGCCCGTGTTATCTTGGTCACACGCGTGCAAATGTTTGCACGTCGTGTGAATGGCCTATAATCGTTTTTCTTTGTAATTTTCCATTCATTTTCTGCTTTAATTCATATTTGCTTTGTTTTCCTAGCTTACTATTGCCGTGGCTGGCTCAACAGGCGAAGCGCCAGCACCGAAAAAGAGCCCTAAAAGTTGCACTTTTATTTTCCAAATCCGACCCCAGGCCCGGGAGATTTGAAATTCAGCTCAATATCGCCAAAAAGAGACTATTTTATCCCTTGCTCACAAGAGCTTCCATGGTGGTATCGTCTTGTTCCGAGGCAATGTTTGGGAAGGTGGGGGCATTAGCTGCCCTAAGTCTCGCGGAAAGCTCCAAGCGACATAATTTTCCTCGTTTTCTCGCCAGAGTTTTCAAGACCGACGCAACTCGTCGTCAAAAAGTACTCAGCGTGGATTTCGTGCCGAATTCCGCCCCAAACAATTTAGGCTGACCTCTCGCCACCAATCGAACCCACTGATATGTATCTACCTATACACGAGCAATGGTTTGAGCCCAAAGAAGGACAACTTCACAACGAGCACACTTTCTGACGGTAATATTTTCTACGTATATCAGTATTAGAACACCATCAAGACGACAAATTGACCAGCAGAAAGACATAAAGTTGCACTACAAATACAGCAGCTGTATAAACATAAATAATTGAACTGAAAACTATGTAACTGGATCCCACCAAAAACAGTAAAGCATCCTAAATAGTATGCGCATACACATATACATGAAGGAAGGCTATGTTGCCACCATACACTGGCTACGCACACGGACATAATTCTGGAGAGCTGAGCATCAGCGTGCGCACACCCCCACACACACATCTGCATGCACGCGCGCACACCCACATATGCGCATGCACACGCGCGCGCACACACACACGCCGACATATACACATGCATGCGCGCACACTCCTGCCCTGTGCTGTCGAGCCACTGCCACAAGGGTTGCGTGGGCCTCGAAGGCACCGGAGAATAGGAGAACGCAGTCCCATAGATACACACAAACGCACACACACACATACACACACATGTACACAACACGTGCAAGTACACACGTGGCAGCTTACTACAAGAGAACCACACAAGTTCACATGTGGGCATGAACTGTATTCACAGTTGGTCATACTGTCTTGGGCATATGAGGGAGGAGCAGGAGAGTGAGGGCGTGACTCAGACACAATGCGCTTCGACATGCTAGCACTTGCACCGGTTTCGGACAGTGGCAGAACGTGACGGAGAGAGAGAGAGAGAGAGAGAGAGAGAGAGAGAGAGAGCACCAGCGTTCCAGCTCAAGCTCCAAATTTCTAGTTGCTTCTCCTGGTCACAGTAAACACAGAACAGGGCTCAGGCAGTGCCGAGGAAGTGCTTGTACTTGGTGCAGTGTCGTGAGCAGGATAAACTTCCAACATCTCTACACAGTGTAGCTCTTCAGGCGCACACGAAGACTCAGAAACCGGAAGATACTTTACATGATGATTGAAAGTCCAGCAGCACAACAAAACTTCCAAGGACTGGTTTGGCACTAGCTTCCGTCTCATTGACGTGTGCCCAGCCAGTTTTGGAAAGAAAGAGTAGACGTTCATTCCTCGTTCAACCTGCAATGAACTGAAGACAACACAAACCAACAAGACGACGATGGTTGTCATCAGCTCATGTGTTCACCACCGCAGTTCTACCATTCACTTTCCTGCTCCAAATGCACTGCCAGGCTGCATGGTACTACTGTCGTGGACATGGAAATCCGGTCGCACGTATAGCGGCCCCAGGGCGCTGGCCATGCAGCCGTAGCACGGTTTATCATGCGCTGCTGATGGTCGCATTGGATCAACATGTGCACTGCATGCAACGTTCTGTACGCGCTGAGGGCGCCGGCCCCGGTCAATCGACTGGATTTCCATGTCCGCGACAGTACGATGTGTCGATAATAGACCGTGATTTGCATTTTCCAATGATTAGGACTGGTATTATTTCTATTTTTCACACTTAGAAAGAAAACAAGGGGTAAGATTTGATACGGATTATGTGGTTGTTGGCTATGTCAACATTTGAAAGAGGGTTGCAACCGAGATAGCACTGCAACATGAGTTTAAACCTACGTATTGCATGGTATACTCAACAGTTGGCGAGCAGAGAATTTCGTGCCGAATTCCGCCCCAAGGTTGTGCACAGCAAACAACTTGATATTTCATTAGCCCTACCCTTGTGCTATACGTACCCGTTGTGCCGATCGAGCCTGAGCCCTCTACTCGACTCCACGGTCCAATGACATTCGGTCATCATGGCCAAATTCAAGTCACTCAATTGTTGAGAAGTGTCTACGTCGTCGCACACGGCATGTGTCGACATACAAATATATGTGTACGATAGAGAAAGAACTACTGAAGAGCAACCAACTGGTTTTAGCATTCTCCTTCAAAGGATAGGTCGGTGGCAGAGGACCAAAGCCGGACAATAGTTGGAAATTCTCAGCGTTGAATTTCTACAGGCTGTAGATAACTGGAAAAGCTCGATTTCCCGCCACGGAAAATAAAAAAAAGTCTTGATTTGGGGTGCTGGCGCTTCGCCTGTCAACGCCCTTGTCTCAGGGGATTCTGTCCCTGCATTAGCTATGCTTGTCACATGCTATGAGATTGTGTCTAATAATAACCCTAAACCTCATTCACTTCTCAAGATAAAAATAAATATTGAGGATCCACTGCAGCCACTTCATTACGTGAAAAACCCTACAAACACCATCCTCAAATCAAGTGGTCTCTTCGCAGACGCTGCAAATTACAATATAACAATCATGTGATGTTCTCAAATTATTGTGCACGCACACACACATGTACACACCCATACAACGCCAAGAAAATACAAAGCAAAAAAACAAGAATCGAAAGAGAATAGGCTATGATGGAAAGCCAAGGATTAATTTATTCCCGTAGCTATGCAGAAGACTTTACTTCAGTAACGTCTGGCGCTAGCCAGGGTCCACACAGCTTTAATTCCCGTAGCTATGCAGAAGACGTTACTTCAGTAACGTCTGGCGCTAGCCAGGGTCCACACAGCTTTAATTTGGTGTTTGTTTGTTTGTTTGTTTGTTTGTTTGTGTCACGCCTGGCGCTATCCCGTATCTGTCCCGTACTGTACCGTACCAGCAAAGACAGCTGGCCACAATATTTTTGTTTGTTTGTGCCATCGACATGCCTGGCGCTATCCCGTACGTGTCCCGAACCATCATGAGTACGGTACCATCAAGAGAATGAGTATATATGCGAAGTGTTTCGGGGGAATGCATTCAGTGCAGTAACATTTTGTGTGGATTTGTGTGCGAGGCCGAGATCCCACTAGCAGGCTGGCTGGGCCGCCTGTCGACCAGCCCGGGAATCGCATGTAGGCCGATAGCATAATAATTATAACGTATATACAGTCATGTAGATGTATAGCAGGGAGTCATAATTATTATGTAAACGACTCCCTGCTGTATGGGGAGATTTTCTGGAAAGAAATACGAAGTAAGGAGACGAGTAAATGCAATCAGAATGGATGTTAGTTGTAAGAAGAAGAAGAACGCCCGTGATCGGCAGAGTCAGCGCCGGTCCCAGGAAACGTCAGGACAGACATCCCGTCGACTCCGGAACGCCAGTGATCGGCAGAGTCAGCGGCGGTCCCATAGCTATGCAGAAGACGTTACTTCAGTATCTCATTGAAAAGTTCTTTTGCAATACAATGATGTTGCTAATCAAAGGAAAAAGCATTTCCATCAGTTCTAACAACATGTACGATAAGCTAGGCAACAAAGCATAGCGCAGGGCCCTGAGCTTCCAAGCTCTCTCGTTTGGTATTTGTGTGTTTGTTTGTTTGTGTCACGCCTGGCGCTATCCGCATCTGACGGCAAAAAAGAATAAGATGTTATAAATTTTTCAATTCTCCTATTTTTTCAGGCATATCATGGGATTCGAACCCGCACTATCGCCCTACATGCATTCCCCCATACACTTCGCATTCATACCCATTCTTCCAAGTTGCTTCACGTTATTATCTTGCGTTTGAAAGCCCTATTTGAATATTGCGGGCAGCTGTATGTGGCCAGCTGTGTTTGATGGTACGGTACATTACGGGAGACGGTGTCGTATTACCCTCGATCGTACCTGTCCCGTACCTATCCCCTACCGTACCGTGCTATCAAAGACGGCTGGCCACAATGCATATTATGTTCAAATAGGGCTTTCAAATGCAAGATCACAATGTGAAACAACTTGGAAGAATTAGTATGTGTGCGAAGTGTATCGGGGGATGCATGCAGGGCGCGCGATAGTGCGGGTTCGAATCCCAGGTTATGTCTTAAAAAAAAGGAATTTTTTAAAGAATTTGTAACATCCCTATGCTTTTTTTTGTCTAGGTCATCAAGGCAAAAAAGCATAGCGTAGGGCCCTGAGCTTCCAAGCTCTCTCGTTGCTTTGAAATTATTGTGCGCGCGCTCTCGCGCGCACACACACACACACACACACACACACACACACACAAACACACACACACACAAAAACACACAAACACACACACACACACTCACTACTACTACTACTACTACTACTACTAGCAGCATGACTGCCCAGATGGGCAAGTGTCACCCCGATGAAATGGGGACCAGAAAACGGGAGTCAGATCACAGGCAGGACCGCGAATGTCTGGCTAGGTCCTGCTGCGGGCGGAAATTGCGTTTACAATGTGGGCAGCTGAGGGCCAGAGCTGCTTACTCAGCAGCAGAAGGTCTCGCACCACGATTGTAGTTGTGACGCTTGAACCCGGCCGCAGAACGGAAGCATCGCTGACATGTCGGGCAGTGCTGCTCGCAATAAGCTGAAAGTGGCACATACAGACTGACTGTTGGTGTAGGCGAACTCGTGACAGGCTGGCATTGATGAACAGAGTAGCCACCCTTGCTGGGGAACCACCTCTGGCAGTTCTGGCACTACACTGATCCATGCTGGAGCTGGATGGGAAGCCGTCTCTGAGTGGTGCACTTGTGCCGCGTTCGATGGGAGCCCCGTGAGAAGTTCCGGTCACACACTGCGCAATGCACAGACTTGGGCATGGTGGAGCTCGACTGAGGGGCAACCCGTACTTCCCTCCACTGTTGGCCCCCTCCAACTCCTCTTTGGGTGGCTACCTGTGCCTCGGCCTTTTTGGGGTCCCCGGCGACGGTGGAAGGACACGGTGATAACCGACCTCAAGTTTGCCATTTCAGTGGTTCATTCTTGCTCAAGACACACTCACACGCACACACACGCACACACACCTGGTCCTGGTCCTGGTAAACACTGCCATTACGGTCACGTGTCCCCTCGCGGGGCCGACAACATGGAAAACGACGTGCGTCGGCAGAAAGTCGGCAGTCTGCCGAGAGATCAGGGACCATGTTCAATCGGCACGACGAGAGAGCCATCTCCGGCAGCTATGGATTTGGAATCCACGAGTGGAGCGGCAGCATCGGCCACAGGCCCCACAGTGGGCCTTGCAGCATGAGAGAGCGAGCCGCACACGCTGCGGCGGAGGAGTCGCCTGAGCAGCAATGGTAGACACCGCCGCCCGGCACGGAGCCCGAGACGATGTCGCGGGGAGCATCCGGGAGTTGGGGCACTTGTGGACCGCCAAACCTCCGGCACTGCGGAACCAGCGCTCGCAGGAAGAACATTGTCGGCTACCTCTCTGTTCTGATACAGGTTTGCGGCGCTCATCGAGGCATTTATGGCGAGGCAAACCACTCCTGGAGAAGAGACGGCCACACTCGGAACAAGGTATCCGCAGGGGCTCACAAACGGGTTCGGGCAGGGGCAGAACACTGCAAGCGGCCCGCCATTCCCGTCTATCCTGGGCCAAGTCATACCATTCGTCGATGCCCAACGCCAATGCACACACACACACACACACACACACACACACACACACACACACACACACACAAACTTATGCAACGCCAAGAAACCACCAAGAAACGAGTACAGACATAATATACACGCAACTCCAACAGCCATGAAAACGTCCACCCATTTACGCGTAAAGTCATGAGGGATTACAAAATAATTATACTAAACGAATGCATACATGGATGGGTGAACGCACGTTTACATACAATCATGTAGTAGTGTAGGAGCGTAATATAGTGCAGTAGTCAGCATAATACAAGCACATGCTGAGAGTGCAATAGCAAGCTTCACCATTGCTCATGGTAATGCAAATGTTCAGCAGCACTCAGTTCCGCAAGCTTCTGAAGATCAGCACATCTGCAACAAATATATAGCACAAGGATACGCTTATTACCGTAAGATGCATGGGTGCACACAACTACCAAGTTCCCAACGAATGTGATGGTCAATGAAAATCCATCCACTCAAAGACCTGTGAACAGGCGACGGTGGGGACAATAATCTATTAGTAATACGAGGAATAAGATCGTTTGTGCACACTCAAGACGCACAGACACACCAACAAACATTTTTAAAGTGTACACCACAGTGTTTCAATTTACTGCAACTAAATAATTATTAGGATGATTTAAACAATATGTACAACGTTACCGTCAGTCAAACAGTCTTCCCCAAGATGGAAATGCAATTATTTCTTGTCACGAGGCAATTTCACTGACACATTGTCATGTTTGTGACATCAAAACGGTTACTTCATGGAATACGAGTATTAGCTTCAAGCTTTTTCTTGTCATCGGCATACAAGCAATCCTCCTAATACTACTAGAACACTGGCACTTCGTTTGTCGATCCCAATGTATTTGACATCATCATACTACAGGAAGAATGTCGTTGAGTTCACATAAATATCACAGGGATAAAAATACATTTCTCGTGAAATAGAATTCATGATAGCTAGACGATCGTGTACGATTGATGCGAAGTCCTTGCTGTCCTTGAGGACTGATGTTATTGTCACGCAACTATTACGAAGTCGTTGATTACTTTTAGGGCATTCATTCAAGCAACATCAAACAAACGCGATACGCTGCTTGAAAAATGGAAATAAATTCAAGCATAACGAGAGAACTTCAGACCAATCGAAATGAGTAAAGCTTCCTTACCTCAGTCATTGTCCTGCCATGTAGTTGGACAGCCTTTTGACACGGTAGTACAGGCAGGTCTTGTCCAGTCCAACAGGGTATCCTTGTGGCGTCAAACGAAAGAGAGTGTCAGTGTATCTGACTAGTCAGATTGCAACTGTGCTGAACTTTTCTCGTTCTCCGTTTTCATCCCGCGCACTGATGAAACCGTTCAAACGTCTTACTCAGCAACTCCACAGCATAACTGGCATCAATTACCAGTCAAACAGGGGATATTTGTGGCGTCGAACGAAAGAGAGTGTCAATGTACCTGACTCGCCAGATTTGAACTGTGCTGAACTATTCTCGTTCTCGAATTTCCGCTTTCATCCCGCGCACTGATGAAACGTCTTCAGAGAACCAAAATATGCTTTCCAGATTTTATTTTGAACGTCTCCTTTCCCTCCTTGGTTACCTCGAGACAGATTATTGTTAGCAACTGCACAGCAGAACTTCAGCCATGGCGGAAGTGAAGAAAGGAATTCGCTGCCACGATCGTATGAGGCAAGCAAAACTGAAAAGGTGTTTGTTCTCTTTTGGGCACTACACACATGTACACAGGACGGCGTGACTGGATAAACTGGACTCCTGGACCGTGAATAGGGGACTTGTAGAAAGCGTGTACTCCT